TATATACTTATATATATATATATATATATATATATATATATATATATATATATATATATATATATATATATATATATATATATATATATATATATATATTGCTATTAAATTGCGCATTCGTTTGCACTCTTAATAACCTGTTATTTTCTGCATTATATTAGATTACAGTATTTGGTGTCAATAATATTCTTCCAACAATATTGCTGTACAACCGTCAGACAAAATGGTCAACTGCAAGTTCGTAGTTATCATAATCAGATATTGTATGGTTTTAGTTATCGTAACATCACAACTTCCTCTATGCAAGAATGCTTACAACATTGTCTATCAGATTGTCTTTGTCAATCATTTCAAATGTGTGGAAACACATGTCAACTTTGCTCAACTACAGGGGGAATAACGTCTGCAGCCATACGTCATGAAAGTATTGGTTGTAACAGGTTCGAATTCGAAAATCGTAAAAACGTATACGTAAGTTTAAATCACTAAATATACAATTTATCATAGCCTCCTGTGTTGATCGCATTTTCTCTCGTTTCATGGAAGGACTTTTCCATGACTTTGGTGCATAGTTTTACATTGGTTGGTTTAAAGATGGGGTTTACGTTAGGATCACAATTAGGATAGTATAGGGTTATAGGATTAGTCATTATAGGTTTATAATTTTGTTAGGATGTTTATTAATATAGAACGGTGGAATACGGGCTACACAGTCGGTAGTATCTCATTATAGTGTCGTTATAAACCTGTTACAAATCATGCATGCGTGATACTGATGAAACAATCGTACTTCCGCCAACCTCTAATTGTATCTGCCATGTATATATGATTCTGTGATCAGGTTTTCCCGTTCCCAGAGTACATTATATGCAGTAACTGCAGTTCTCCTTGGCCGTGGCTTGGCCCATCGACAGTTCTTTTGTATTGCTCCATTGAGTCCTATATCTTGCAAACGATCAGAACAGTTCTTTGCATGGTTTTCCATGTCAAAGGCATGCATATTAGCTTAAGTGCTGCCCATTCCAGAGATGACTTTGGATTGCCTTCCATGAGTTTCATGTGCAGTTGCTTCTTTAAATTTTCTAGCCTCCCCTCCCTGGTCATCTATTACAGGTTTGCGGTAATATTTCTCCCCGTATAGTTTTCCATGGCGAATAATAAAATCAGTTTGGGTTTGTGGAAACACCACGAAAATTTATTTATTTGAACAGGTTTGCTGTGTTTAGAACCTTGCTGCCATTTTGTTCATATTTATTTTTCAACCCATTTCAAGCAAATCAGCTTTGAAATCATTCCAATTTCATTCCAGCTCAATAAAGACCAGTGTCGAAGTTGTATAACTGGCATCAACTGTTGTCTGACATCTCAACCTTGTTCCAACAACGGAATATGTACACCGTTGCCCAGCAACAACACACGTTTCACCTGCGAATGTGTTGACGGTTATACAGGACACCGCTGTACAGAGAAACCGAGGTCATGTCGAGCATTCCTCAACAAAAACCATAAAAATGGGCAGTTCAAGATATTTGACAATAATAACCCATACATAGTGTACTGCTCTTTTGATTCCGATATGGCTTGGACGCTTGTCCAGTCTTTTAAATATACACATAAAATGAATTATATTCACATTCCTATTTACCAAGACCAGCCAAGAAATCAAGATTCTCTCCAGTGGGAAGATTACAGACTATCCCGGTCAAGAATGGACGGTATTCACAAAGACTCAAATTCAAAATGGCGTTTTACATGTAATTTTGACAAGGATGGTCTGCTACATACCGATTATGTAATAGCAACTCATGCAGATATCCCTATATTATTTCTTCCTAGTAACCATGAAGCATGTCACAAGTTTGAATTTATTGATATTCGTGGTAATAACTGTACTAATTGCAAAGTATGGACTGCACAAAGAGATAATTGGTCATTTCATATTGATTCATATCATACAAATGGAAAGTGTAAAACAAACACCTTCCCAGACTCGATCAGTTGCAACGAGAATGGAGAAGACAACTTTGGATTCTACGTATGTGTTAATCCCAAACATCGTTGTAGTTCAACCAACGAATCCACAACAGAACTATGGTTCGGTGGTCAATAAACTGTCAGGTTAATCCAATCCTAATTCTATAATCGTACAATTATCCTAGCTTGATACTAGTCTTAATCCTAATCCGACCGTGTCTAAATTCTAATCGAAATCCCAATCCCAACATTAACTCTTATCCCTAATAATCCTAATCTTCACCCTTATCCAAATCCTAATAATTCCGATCCTAACCCAAATTGTTTTGTTCATTTAACATATAAAATGACCAATTTTCCTTGTATTCATTTCATAAACGACCGGCTAATTTTCTGAAGTTACACTCTGAGAGCATTTTTTTTTATTACTAGCTGCTGCCAACTGACATTTTCTTATAGTTTAAACATTGGGAAACAACTGAAAAAGACGAGAATATTTAAATATTTTGCCTATATTAAAGTTCTATGTTAAAATTTCAAGTAAACAATTTAATTTAACAAAAACGGACTGCACTATTAGAAAGTTTGCGAAAAAGTATATTGAGACAATTAAGCGAGTATCAAGTGATTTTCGTAGCCGATTTTGAGTTAAAGAAGCTTAAAGTTGGCAAAATAGTATCTTAATTATAGCATTGAATAGTGCAATTTTCCACATTTTTGAGCGTTAAAAACTCAAAATTGGAACTCAAAGTCTTTTATATATTTTGTTTGCGAACTTTCTAATTGTATGCTTAATTTATTTATGTTGAGGGTAAACTTGAAATTTTGCATTAATAATAAAATTTTAAAATTCTCAAATTTTTCGTTGCAATGCCAAAATCAGAGGTTGGCACATACATAGTCTTGTTCACCAATGCCTAAACTCTGTGAGAATGCCAGTTGGCAGCTCGTAACAAAAAATGCCATCAAATTTTTGGCAAACATTTAGGTGTTGGCCGGCCGTCTATTATCTACATGCTTGCTTTTATAATTTAATGCAGCTGTTAACGTGTTTTAAATTTACTTATTGCAGTTTAATTTTTAAAAATGCAAGTATTTTTCACAATTTTGTGCATTATTCTTGCAAATTTCATGGCACAGTAGCTTTGCCAGTCAAAAACTTCCAAATGACCCTGAAAAGACTTCAATGGAAACATCCCTATCCTATTATTTAGAAAACATTCCATCAAGATTGAAGGCCCTTTTCCATTCATCGCAAGAGTCAACTCGTACGCTCGCTGTAAGTGCTTTCATCCAATCACAATGCTCGACAGTCGACAGTTTATTTTAATTAGAATATTTTATGCGGTTGGCTTTGGCGATGAGAGAAAACACTCAAGTTAATCATGTGGACGGCAGTCTTCATCAACAGAAGGGGGAGGGTGTGATATTTGCCTAATTCATTTGTACACTCAATATTTTACCCGCATTTCGCTTTACCGAGCTCCACCTCCCAAAAATTTGGCAGCCCGCTCCTCTATCCCCCACACAGGCCAAATCTGCCATCATATGCTTACGTAAAAAATTTAACATTTACCTTTTTTCTTCATCTGTATTTTCTTGTATTGGTTGAAGATGTTTCTTCGCCATTTCTTTTACTTTCTCCACTTTTTCACGAATTTCTCGTTCTTTAATGAAATTTAATTTCGTCTTGTAAAACTCGTGAAGAGCGCCAGCCTCCCAACCTTCACTACAGAATATCATATATAAAAAGAGTTAAGCCCGTTTCAGACGGCGTACTCTTCATGTGTCGAACTTAATTGATGAATTAGGTACGGCAGAAGAGCGGCGTATGAATCAATTAAGTACGGCAAATTGAAACGGTTTGAGTCCGACACAAGTTCGGCAGAGCTTGTCGCATTATGCGACGTTGGAGCGACATTGATTCATACGCCGCTCCACTCATGTGCCAAACCTAACTCAACTTTAGTCTAAAAATAAACTTATTTATTTTGAATTTTATTGAGGTTTCGCTGGCGAATGCGCCCAGACCTTGTCAATAACATTGTATTTGGTACGCCGTTTGAATCACTGCCGTTCTTGTGTCGCATCTAATACAATTAAGTTCGGCACCATTCTCGTCCCCAGAGCCATTTTCACTCGGTCACTCGTTGAAAATTAGTCTCTGGGATAGACGACTAAAGGAAGAGATCTGATTGGCTTCTCAGAGAACTGCCATTTCGCAGAAGTTGAGCAGTTTTCGCTGGGCAAAATTATTCTGTCAACATATGTCAACACAAATACTTCGTTTCTTCTTAATACTTCACTGTGAAAATTCTTACGGGTGCTAAAGTGTCCCAATTCAAGAGCATGCGCTTTAGAAACTACTGCAAGTTTTCTTGCACTTCCGGTTCCGTGTGTCCCAGGGCCTAGGGAGGACGCACGCGGCCGAGAGGCCCTGGGGACGAGGATGGTTCGGCACATGAAGAGTACGCCGTCTGAAACGGGCCTTACATATATTCACACAATAAAGACATTATAGGCCTCCTGCTTCACACTAAGAAATTTTGCCGGCGACCTTCTCTCCCTGACAGTTGCGAATGAGTGAACATGCAGCCAAAAGTATGGAATCCTTGTTTATAATACGAAATACAGTAAAATTGCAGCCAGGAATAGACACATTTTGTAAAATCTTTAATACTAAAAGACTTTGGAATATATGATACTGGCTAAATTAAAAACACTAGCCAGTGTCAAATATTCAAAAGTCTTTTAGTATTACTGTCGATGCAATGGAAGTGTTGACAAAATATTGCATGAATTCATTTCCTCACGTTGATCAATTCATACGAATTCAAATTTCTTTTTACTTCCTTTGCGTTTCCTATTCGTCAATCGGTTCTGAAACGAAATCTAATTGGCTCATTTAAAAGTAACAATCAATTTGATCAATTTTCTATCAAATGAATTGATCAACTTGAGGAAAGGAATTGGTGCAATATTTTATCAACACTTCCATTGCATCGACAGTAAAGATTTTACAAAAAGTATGGAATCCTTGTTTGGAAGTATACATTTGCATGTCACTCATTCAGTCACATCCGCCAGGAAAAATCGGCGACAGAATTGCTAGTGTGAATTAGGCTTAAACCAGTGTAGGCAGCATTCCAGAAATTGCTACAATGTTTTGTACCACTTCGTCCACCATTTCAATATTGCATTATTTGCAGGATAATTATAAAAGTTTTAGTCTCACAACATTGTGAATAACGATTATGTAAATAGTTATTAAATTAGTATTATTTGCACGTGGGCATCACATAGCAGATTGCGGTAAGCGCTCTCTTTCCGTATCGCCCTTCCATTCCGGTTGCATAGTAGATGTGATGTAAAACACCCAAATAAGCTAGAATATTATGTAAAACACCAAAACAAGCTAGAATATTATGTAAAACACCAAAATAAGCTAGAGTACAAATGTACAGTAGATTTATTGCCATAAATAAAGTATATTCTAACTGGGTGTGTTGATGTGTCATTGGGAATCGCGGTAATCTACGATTGGAAAGGGGGTGGAAATTGGTGTAGGATTTTTGTCAGGACCTTTTTTAACTAGCCCCCCCAGTCAAATTCCCTTTTCTCTAAAATATAAGCAAGACATTGGAAGAAAAATCATGGAATTTAGAGAAGAGAGATTTGATATTCTAGTAACTGAAATTTGCTTTGTGAATCTTATATGTCATGTCTTTTATCTTCAAATGATTCAATGTGGATAGTATATCCCAGACCCTATACATTTGAGTTGTTGGAAGGCTAGGCTAAACAAGTTAGTGACCGAGTTGTGGTATTTACATAAACATACCATGCAAGTACTAAACTGAAGATTCGGTCTATCTACAGAATAATGTAACGCTGTATATCCAAAATTCTGTTAGAATATATATATATATATATATATATAAGGCTAATTTATCTGATGAGTGCCACATCTTGTGGTACGAAACTAATAGTAATAAAGATGCCTAAAGTGGAATTTGTTGAGTCGTTGCACTTATTTAATTATGCTCTGGATATCCATTGAGCACTCTGCCAAATGTCTTTGTAAACAACGAAACCTAATTCTATTTAAATAAATATATATATATATATATATATATATATATATATATATATATATATATATATATATATATATATATATATATATATATATATATATATATAATTTAAGACCTAACAAGGAAAGGTTGCGAATTTTTTATAGCGATTCTCAAAAAGCCTTTCGGGAAAAACCTTAATTGAAATAGCGGTATTGTTCGTTTTTACAATCGACGCCATCTTGGTTGATTTTCGTGGCAACTAAAAATCTATATAATTATTCTTCATTCTTTGTCGTATTGTGTCAGAAATCGTAAACTACCCATAATACAGTAAGATCTTTTCAAAACAAACCAAAAATATTAAAGTAACTCAACTATTTAATTCGATGTAAACGGCTGGACAAAACTTTAAAATCAACCAAGATGGCGCCTAATTACACGTAGTGACGTCATGTGCAAGCAAAGAATATATGTTCACTTGGATTATGTACCAAACCCAGCATTCAATAAACCCTACAACATTACGGCTACTCTCTCCTGACGAAACGCTAGAAATATCGACGTTTTTGTAACTATTGAAGTAGTTGAGATCATCGCAGCTTATTACACTCAGAGTTTTATGGTAACTGCACTCACCCTCGCTCCTCCGCAGAGGCTTCTGTTGACTATGATCATAGTTAATAGAGGAGATGGTTTGGAAACTCGTTAGTATTACAATAAAATCACAATAAGCCTCATTATCTATGTTGTTCAGGTTTATGCAAAAATGTGGTCTTTCATCGTCACGTGCGTATTGTATTTTTCTCAAGTGAACCAATAGGAATGTTCAAAATGTCCTATTGTTAAAGTCATGGATGGGCAATTGGACAAAACCGTTGCTACTGGTTGGTTGAGCAAAAATACAATACGCACGTGACGATGAAAGACCACATTTGTGCATAAACCTGAACAAAAACATACATAGTGAGGTTTATTGTAATGCTAATGAGTTTCCAAACCATCTCCTCTATTAACTATGCTATGATTAATACGATTAGTATTGAGATACATTTCACAACACTTTACATGGCGGATCTTAGAACACGAGCGGAGCCGCTGGGCGAAGGAGCGCAGGCGGAAAAGGGCGAAGGCAAGGAGGCACTCACCTATTCCGTGGTCTTTCGTGACTTGGAGGACTGTAAAATGCTTCGACCGCGGCAATTAATCTCTCACTAGGAGGCTGGGGAGGAGGAAGTTTTACATCGTCTGGATTCAAGGGCTTGTAGTCAACGTCTGGCGACTAAATAAAATCATTTGACATTTTAAGAAAGAAGAATGTTTCCAGTTGACTGTTCCAAACACCGTCGATTCTCCCGGTACTCTAGTTTCTACCTGTAGTAACAGTCAATCAAAGATGACCCTCTCGATACACTGAGCTGAGGTAGCACATAAACTAGAAATACATGCATGCAGAAACCTGGTAGAAACCCATTTTCCAAACATGAAGTATTTGAAGTGGTTGTCATGGTTACACGAGCATTTTATTCTTTATATTTTTAAAAATGAAATCAAAAACACCCCAAAATATCACTTCTAATTACAAAATTATCAATTTCCCAAATATACATGTGAGGTATGTTATTATGCGTTATATAAGCTTCAATTTAATGTAAAATTCAACCACAAACGCTTCGAAAAACGTTTTAAAATGTTCATAAAACTAAACTACCTTTTATCGACAAACTTTGTGAGTTTGAAATAAAAATGATTTCAAATATGCAATTCTCAGATGAAAATAAGATTTTTAAAGGGTATGAGCAAACAAAAAATTTTATTGCTTCATCTGAAAGAGCACAAAAAATAAGCCGATTGGCCGTTTAATGCTTTATTCTATCCAGGTGATCTCGTGTTCGTATTTTAGCCAATCAGCGCTCAGAAAGGGTTGTCCGAATAGAAATCCATTTTGATGTATTCAGTCAATTATATCTTTCATTATTCTTTATGAAACTAGTTGAAATTTTGTAATTATGTTTGGTTATGAGAACTATAGCTCTGACAAAAATATGGAATCGAAATAAAGTATATTATAGGAGATATTCAGTTGTTTTAACTTTCTTACTTCTTACTTACTTTTCCGCGTATCAAAATCACCTGGATCTCATCTAGTTCCGAAGTTATACGCAAAAATGTGCAAAATATGAATTGCTGATTCAGCACAACGTGTGACGTCATTAGTTGGGTAAGTATGTTTAATGGTACTAAACTGAAGCATAGCTCAGTTATTTTGGGCCCAAATCAAATGAAATTTTGCATACTGATTGTACATGATGAGACGCATTGAAAAACACTTCTAATTTTGTTGCCAAGGTAACAATGTCGTCCCCTGGCCCCTTGCGCCAATTTTATAAAACAACTTTATTCATGGTACTTATAAGAAAAAAATAATATCAGAAGTATGTGTACCATACCTATGCATGCCAAAAGTTTACTTGCATGATAATAATTCGAAAATGACATACACACAGATAAATGCAACTAGTTATTCAAAATCAGTGTAAGGTGCCTGGGAACGACTGTGTTGCCTTGACAACAAAATTAGAAATATTTTCCCATGCATCTCATCATGTACTATCTGTATGCAAAATTTCATTTGATTTGAGCCAATAATAACTTAGCTATGCTTTAGTTTACAATTCAATAAACATACTTACCCAACTAATGACGTCACACGTGCTGAATCAGCAATTTATATTTTGCACATTTTTGAGTATAACTTCGGAACTAGATGAGATAGAATAGAGCATTAAACGGCCAACCGGCTTATTTTTTCATGCTCTTTCAGATGAAGCAATGAAATATTTTGTTGCTCATACCCTTTAAATATCCCAAATAATAAAAACATCTTTTTTAAGATATTCTGCAGTCCGTGATTTTCGTTATATGCAGGAAAAACAAATAAAACTACTCGTCTCTGTAACGATTTTTCGGATTTCTGAATAATGTACTTTGGTTTCCTTTCCGCAAATCAGACGCATTTCACTCTTGAAATTCTCCATACTCTTGATATCAGTGAGGTCCACTCGATGAACTTTAGACCACGTTAATGCTTTCCCTTTCCTTTTCTTGGGTGTAAATAGCGATTGATTTCAACATGGATAATAAAATAAATGGATAGGACTCTAGCTGACATAAGCAAAAACAACCTAGTTGCAATCTGTGACGTCACGCGTATTGCAAAGTTCTCGGCATTTTTGTTGTTTCGCTATTCTTTCCGTTTTAAAAGAGCAATATTGAAGCATATACTGGTCTGTTTTAAAAACATGCCTAAGCCACGACAAAGTATTCAAGGTAAATGTTTTTCGTCTT